TTACCAAAGCCTGACACAGGCAAAAAGCAAATTTTTGCAGATTCTATTAGCATTATTTTGTTCTATAATTACTCAACCAAGATTCTGTCACATTCTTCTTTTCCCCAGTTTTTTCAAATACAATGACAAAATCCTCAAGCCTCACTTGCATTTAACACCACTCCTTCCTGGTTACAAACCAATGATTTACAGCTGAGTATATTTTTTCACCTGATACCTCATTTGATCTTCCTCAAGGCTGCATGTGGTAGCAGAGCAAATATTATCCTCATTTTATCCCATTGGTACTGAAATTCAGAGGGATTAAGAGTTCCCAATCATCTATAGCAATAGCATATGATTTTGACCTTCCCTAGTGACTACTGGTGGTCGTGCCTACATAGTTTAGTGGTCAGCCAGTGATCTGGGCAGTGGTTGTGCCAATGCATCCTACACCTATTAGGCTTCCACATGCTGGAGCTGTACTACACTAGTCTAAAATCTAGATGTGCTAACAATGTTTCATTGTGTAACTCTGGATATGTCTCCGCCTCAATTTCTTCAAATGTTTCAGTAACTTCTTCAAAGTAAGGAAAAGATAACAGAAGCACATTTTATTCTTCAGGGCCACCCAGAATCTGCCTTCTACTCCAAACTAAAGAAAACTGCTGGGGTCAGAGCTTTCCCCAGAGCTGGGGTGCCTTCCCTGGCTACTCTCTGTAAAGCTGGGCTTGGACTTGCCTGCAAATCCTCTTTATCTCGCTTGCCTGGGACCATTTTTTGTTTTTGTCCTTTAGTCCCAGAAATACAACTCAATTAGGGAAGAGAAAAATATGATAAATATGATTCTTAAATTTATCAAAAATAAAAGGAAGGAAAAAAATTAGCCCTGAAACACCAGATTGTTCAATACTTTCAGTTGAAGAGAACTAGTTTTAATACATGTTGCCTTAGATTTTTAATTATAGGATATGACTGACAGTGCTGAACAAAAAACAATTGAAAAAACTGAAAAAACAAAAAAGTTGATCTTTGAAAAAAATAAATAAAATTGACAGACCCTTAGCCATGCTAATGAAGAGGAGGAGAGTGAAAACTAACATCTGTGATGAAAAAGGAAATATTACAACGGACACTACAGAAACACAGAAAATAATTAGAAATTATTTTGAAAATTTGTACTCCAATAAAATAGAAAATAGAGGCATATGATATGCCTAAACTAAACCAGGATGATATATACAATTTAAACAGATCAATTTCAAGCAAGAAAATAGAGGACACCATCAGAAGCCTACCAATCAAGAAAGTCCAGGACCGGAGGGATACACAACTGAGTTCTACAAGACCTTTAAAGAAGAACTAACACCAATACTCCTCAAACTATTTCATGAAATAGAAAAAGAGGGAACACTTCCAAACACATTCTGTGAAGCCAATATCACCCTGATTCCAAAACCAGACAAAGACAAATCAAAGACAGAAAATATTTTAAATGAATATAGATGAAAAAAAATTCTCAATAAAATTCTGGCAAATTGAATAAAAAAACATATCAAAAAGATAGTGCATCGTGATCAAGTAGGGTTCATCCCAGGAATGCAAGGTTGGTTCAACATACGGAAATCAATAAATGCAATTCATCACATCAGTAGACTCAAAAATAAAAATCATCTCAATAGATGCTGAGAAATCATTTGATAAAATAGAGCATCCATTCATGTTCAAAACGCTAGAAAAACTAGTGATAACAGGAACATACCTAAACATTGTAAAGGCTATCTATGCTTAAGCCCTAGGCCAACATCATCCTAAATGGAGAAAAATTTAAAGCATTCCCTCTAAAAACTGGAACAAGACAGGGATGCCCTCTATCACCACTTGTATTTAACACAGTTCTTGAAACTCTGGCCAGAAAAATCAGACAGACAAAAGAAATTAAAGGGATACAGGTAGGAAGAGAAGAACTCAAATTATCACTATTTGCAAAAATATGATTCCAAATAACCTAATCAATAAATGGGCCAAGGACCTGAACAGACACTTCTCAGAAGAGGATATACAATCAATCAACACACACATGAAAAAATGTTCAACATCTCTAGCAATTAGAGAAACACAAATCAAAACTACATCCTTCCCCTGGTGTCTAGAATATCAGAATGTCCACTCAATGTCCAGACTCAGGTCACAGGCAGCCCCTCTCCTCTATCTACTTTCATTCCTTTGGTGGTCTCAACCCCTCCTATGATTCTGAATTACAGCTAAGTGCTGATGACTTCAAGTTTCCTCTTCAACCCTGACCCTTTGCTGACTTCCAGACTCTGCCTATTTGGCGTTTCTGCTCAGATGTCTACAGAAGCCCAAGTGCTCCTACTGCTATTCCAAACTGTTCCTGCAAACCCCTTTCCCTGCCCCATCTCAGCAACAGGCAACTCCACTCTTCAGCTGTTCCAGATGACACCTTTGAGTCCTCCTTGACACCCCTTTCTCTCATCCCATATCCAGTTTCACAACATATAACTAGAAACGCCATCATTATTATCCCACCCCTTTGTATGACCTCAGGCACCACTGTTTTCTCATCCTGGTCACAGCAACAGCCTGGAATCAGGTGTCACTCTGCTTCCACCCTTGCAAATGTTCCTATCCCACAGGATTCAAATCACAGCTTCAAAAAAAAAAAAGAGCAGGGGGCTGGAATTGCAGCTCAGCGGTAGAGCACTTGCCTGACATGTGTGAGGCATTGGGTTCTATTCTCAGCACTGCATATAAATAAATGAATAAAATAAAGGTCCAGCAACAACTAGAAATATATATATTTAAAAAACAAAGAAAGGATCAAGTCACTGTCTTCCTAAAACCAAATATTCTTCTCATCTCATTCGAAGTTCAAGCCTTCACAACAACCACTGCTTATATGATGTGACCTTCCATTTCCTCTCACGTTCTCCTCTTCTCATGTCCCTCACCACCCATCCCCCACCTCCTCATCTTCCAGCAGGCCAGGCAAGCTCCTGCCCTGAGGTCTCTGCACTCTCTATTCCCTCTGCCTCCAACACCGTCCCCTAAATATCTTCAGGCTCTTTCCCTCACCTTCTTCAAGGCTTTATTCAGATATCACCTTTTCAGTAAAGCCTTCCCTGAACATCCCGTTTATCACCGAGTCCCCAACCCTTGACTGCCTCATGTTTTTCTGAAGACATTTCTAATCTCTAGTGTTCTTACTGTACATTTACCTATTGATTTGTTCTTAGTCTTAGTGTCTCCCTGCTAGAAGGTCAGCTTCACAAAGCAGGAAGCTTTGTTCACTTTGTCTGCTACCATATCACCAGTGACGTGGCAGGTATTCAACAAATACTTGGTCAAGCAAAGACTCATATTCTTAAAACAATACAGATTTGTACTAATTGATCCATATGCAGACCACAAAGTTGAAGGAATACAGACTGCTAAGTAATGTATGACTAAGGATGTTGATCATAATAAGACCAGTTCTATCCAAAAAAAAACATAATTCAAGTCACAGTAATTTTGGGGGGGTATGCTGGGATTGAACTCAGAGGCATATGACCACTGAGCCACATCCCCAGCCCTATTTTGTATTTTATTTAGAGACAGGGTCTCAGAGTTGCTTAGCACCTCACTTTTGCTGAGGCTGGCTTTGAACTTGTGAAACTTGTGATCCTGCTGCCTTAGCCTCCCCAGCTGCTGGGATTATAGGTGTGTATCACCAAGTCATAAGTAATTTTAATTTTATAAAGCAGAGACATAGAAAAAGCAAAAGAAAACAGATAAATTAATTTTAGTGACGTTTTAACACAAAATATCCAAAATATTGTTTCAACATGTAATTAATTCAAAAAATATTAATAAAATATGATTTTCTTTTAATATTAAGTCTTTCAAATATGGTATATATTTTATGCACAGTATATCTCAAGTAGTACTAACCATATTTCAAATGCTTGATAAGTAAGTGTAGCCAGTGGTTACCATATTAGACAGCATAGATCTGAACCACAACTAAATAAATCCATTGTGGTATAGATTATTTATAGATTTATCCACTATTTTTAAGATTCCAGGACTGGGGTTGGGGCTCAGCAGTAGAGCACTTTCCTGGCATGTATGAGGCACTGGGTTCAATCCTCAGCACTGCATATAAATAAATAAAATAAAGGTCTATCAACAACTAAAAAGAAAAAAAATTGTTTAAAAAATTGATTCCAAAACAAGGCTCTGATACAACCTCAGGGTATACTAGTTTTGTCAAAACAGTCTCAAAGGATATAGCAAAAGGGTAATAGCTTTTATTCTGAGAAACCACTTACATCAAGTTAACTGACTTGAGTGCTTTACACCTCACCTGGGTGTTTTGACTAGTAAGAATGAACAGCCTTCTTCTTTAGTCTTCCATTAAGAAGCAAAGTTAAATCTAGAGAGTCTATAATCTTACCCACATTAGCACACACACACACAAAAAAAAAAAATCACTATCTTCAAATAGAAAGAACTATTAAAATGCAATTTCCACTAAACTAGGTTAACTAAAATTCATCCTTCATTAAAAGACAATCTTTATAGAAATACAGTTGCGGTTAAAAAAAATTAAGTTGCCTTACTGATATATTGGACCTCTAGACTCTTTTAAAGTAAGTGAAATAAAGCACTAAGGAGATTGCTTTGAAGTGTTTAATATATGCATTTGAGTCTTTGCTATGTTTCTTAAAAGCTGAACTATTATGTGTAGAAAATATTTTCATAACTTTTTTATCAGAGGATTAATTTCTCCCAGGGTCCCATTATTTATAAATACTCAATAAGAATTATCAGTGTAACTGCCACCATTTTTCTACAAGTAAATTTAAAGAACCCAATCTAATTAAGTGCATTAGATTTTAAAACTTTAAATTTATAACATGTTACTTTTTTAAAAAGCAGAACCCAATTAAGTGCATTAGATTTTAAAACCTTAAAGTTCTATCATGTTACTTTTTTTAAAAGCAGCATCTACTCACTGGGCTGTGAATAAGATGTTATCAATCATCTCCTGCAAACTGGCAGCTCTGAGCTGGGCTCCATGAGGCAGAGAAACTCCAGATGGCGAACACCTCAATCCTCCTAACCCTGAAAAGCATGAATAAAATGCATGTTATGAGAAAGAAAACTTCTAGCAAGTGACTACCTGGATAGGAAGTAATCTCTGCTTCCTTTTTTTCTTTCTTTTTTTAAAATGAGGACTCAGAGTAAGTTAATTCATGGCCTTGGAGTGTTGGGGAGACCCGGTACTGCAACACTTGGTATCACAACTGTTTTTCTGTTTTAAGAAATCTCAGGAAGATACCTAAGTTGCCACAATAAAATATGCATCCTGCACTGTGCCCTGTTGGATTTCCTATCAGTCTGATAACCAAGTAACTAATGACCCAAACTAAGACCCTTTTGAAAGTGGAAAGGGGAAAAAATTTACTTATTGACCAAGTAAACTGATTTGATGATGTTGATTTTATTCTAAAAAATAAAGCAAATGTGTGATTACTACATTAAAGCTAAATTTTAAAGGTTTCTTTCTATTATATGAGCACTAAAAACATCATAAGCAGATTAATCTTGGTATATAGTCATGCACTATAATCAGTTTTCTTAACACAGAATCTGTCTCTCACGTCATATCACCAATATTTTTCCTAGAAAAATAATTAGTATATTCTCATTGTTTAATTTATCACAAAGTTGCCACATATTTTCAAAGTTTCACTTTAGTTGAATACAACTTTATGTCTCTACTGGCATTATCTTTAACAAGAAGATGCTCTTGACAGGTACTGAGGAATCACTGTAAGCTCAAAGCAAACTGCTAAACAGGATAATCTCAATTCCACATTTGTACCAAAATGGAATATTTCAGCTTAGATTATTTTCAGATACTGTCTTTTGCATAAATTGGTAGGTTTTTCTTCACTTTTGCCCCTCCAATCCATTCAATAGAACATACTTCATCACAGGTAGTTTTGTCCCCTACAATGCAAATCTCCCCCTATCAATTCTTCCCTTAAGTTTTCAAAGGCTTACTTGCTCTGAGGCTACAATCTACAATCCCTAACAGGGCCTTCCGACCTGTCCTGGTCCTGGTCCTGATCCCTTCCTACCTCCCAGAACACAGTGGTCTGCTGTCAAATCCCTCAAAGCACTAATTTCTCCCCTGCCCCAGGGCTTTTGCAGGACCTTCTCAGTCAGGACTATCTTTTTATCCTAGATGCCTTCCTATACCCCCAATTTAAATTATACCATGCTACTTTCCTCTCTCAAAAGTATTCTATATTTTTTCTATAAAACTTTCATCAAACCTACAGAAAACCTATAAAAACTCCATGAGGCTGAGGCTATAGCTCAGTGGCAGAGCTGCTTGGCCTAGCATGTGTGAGGCACTGGGTTTGATCCTTGGCACCACATATAAATGAACAAATAAAATAAAGGCATTCTGTCCATCTACAACTACAAAAAAAAAGTTTAAAAAACTCCATGGGCTGGGGTTGTAGCTCAGTGGTAGAGCACTCTCCTAGCATATGTGAGGCACTGGGTTTGATCCTTAGCACCACATAAAAAAAATAAATTAAATTAAATAAAGATACTGTGTCCATCCATAATTTAAAAATATTAAAAAGAAAAACTTCATGAGGATGTAGAGATCATACCTTTAGCCATCTCTTTTTTTTAATGACCAGAGATAAAATTAATTGTGCACTTGCTGTGTGTCAGTATCTCAGCTAAAAAATTTATTGTTATGCTGTGACATTAATCCCAAAAGTAACCCAATGAAGCAAATACTGTATTAATTCCAAATTTACCAGAGGCATTTAGAGGAATTACTGCCTAAGGCCACAAAGCAAGTAAGTAAATAGAAACTTAAACTCAAATGTTTTAGCCAGCTTTCTCTGCTATAACTAAAAGTACCCGATCAGAACAATTGTAGAGGAGGAAAAGCTTATTTGAGGGCTCATGGTTTCAGAGGTCTTAATTCATAGGAGACTGGGTCCATTCCTTGGGGCTCAAGGTGAGGTAGAACATCATGGTGGAACAACATGGCAGAGGGAAGCAGCTCATATGATGATCAAGAAGCAGAGAAAGAGAGAGAGATCTCCACTTGCCAGATAAAATATATACCCCCCAAATCACACCCCCAATGCCCCACCTCCTTCAGCCACAACTTACCTGCCCTCAGTTACCACTCAGTTAATCCCTATCAGGGGATTCATTCAATGATTGGGTTAAGACTCACAACCCAATCACTTCTCCTCTGAACCTTCTTGCATTGTCTCATACATGAGCTTTTGGGGGATGCCTCACATCCAAACCATAATATTCCACCCCTGGCCCCCAAAAGCTCACTCTCCCATTTTATAGGAAGCTCAAGAGTTCAGTTCCTCTTCCCATTTTCACATGAGCTCATTTTAGTCAGGCCTCTGTCCCCACTGCCCGCCTGCAGGTACTCTTGTTAAAACGGCCCATGACTTTCATCTTGAAATACCCAACAGCCAGACAGGAAGACAAGCACTGTAAATGAATTAATTTCATCAATTTAAACTGTTCATCACAACCATTATGAGGCAGATACCACTGTTACCCAGAAGAAATGTCCAATGAGTTCATTCGCAGCCACTTGGGCAAAAAGCAGCTCAGATCATTTCACTAAACCTAATGGTCAATTTCCAGTTCTTACTAGACCTTTCAGTGGTACCGACAGCTGACCACTCTCCTCTCTGAACTCTTTCTCTGCCTGGTTTCCAGGCCACCTCGTTCTCCTGATTCCCTTCTACCTCACCGTCTGTTCCCTAGCCAGAATTCTCATTTTTCCAACTTCTGCATGCTATGACCCAGAGCTCCCAATTCTCACACTTCTTACACTTACCCTTCCTGGTCACTTCAACAAGTCTCATCACTTTAAATACCATCCACAAGAGCCTAGACCTTCTTCCCAAATTCAAGATGCACGCATTCAGCCACCTACTTGGCATCTCCCTAGATGTCTAATAAGACATTCCACACTAGGCATCACATAGGGCCAGACTGCAGATGAACCCCTTGGGCTGACACACTATGACAGGCTTCCCCATCTCAGTAAATGACAGTACAATCCTCAAGTCATCCTGAACTTTTCTTTGGCTCCCTCTCTTAAAATACACCTAAATCCCAGCTCTTCCTCCCCACTTCCACCCACTCTGCCATTCGCACTTCCCTCATCTCCATCTGGAATACTGAAAGAGCCTTCCAGCTGGTTCTTCCCTTACCTTTCTGTACACTGTTTTCAAAGTGAAAAGCCAGTCTGGTCTTGGAGAGACAAAGTCAGATAATGCCACTCCTTTGCTTGAAACTCTCCAATTGCACTCCTTCTCATTTATAGTAACAGTCGTGCCAACAGCACATGACTGGCCCCATGCTGCCTTCTCCCTTGCTCATCCCACTCCTGTCCCACCACCTTCTTGCAGCTCCTGGAGGATATGGACACACTTGTGCTCATGCTGCTCTCTCTAGAACATGCTTCTCCACAGACACCTGCATGGCCCACTCTCACCCACTTCAGGTGCCAAGCTCCAGTGACCACCTCCCTGGGAAGCCTTTTCTGGCCACGCTCTTACATGCTTCCCTTTACCAGCATATCATGCTTTACATTCCCTAACCCTGATTTCCTGTTGTTTAGATTCATTCATTCGTTCTCCACGAGGTCTCTCTCTTACCCACCCCACTTTTCTCTTCTCTATGAGAATTTAAGCTCCTCAAGGGGAAAATTTTTTTGCTTCATGCAATCCTGTATCCCCCTGGTGACAAGAACATGCCTAGCACATAACAGGTCCCTGATTCATATTCAATAACAAAGGGCTGGAAATGATATGTTAATCCTACCATGGGTAGGCAGTTCAACTCTTGTCTCCAGACCTACTGTTCGAGCAAGTTCCTGGAGAGCACAGACCATGTCAGTTACAAATTTTGCGCAATAATTGCACATAGTCTTGTCACTGTTAATTATATCTGCTTCTCGAATTTTAGTTTCCACTATATTACAAGAATGCTACTAACTTGAGGAATTAAGTAGAACACTTTAAAATATGACCTTCAGGTCTCAATGATCAACACTTAACATTCTCAACTTACCCCACAATTGCCTGACTGCTTCCTTCTTGGAGGGAGGTGTATGTCTACTTAGTAATATTTTACCTGTGGTTCTGACAGAGGATCAATATCCAAAATATAAAGAGAAGTCAAAAAAGCTTAACACCAAAAAACCCACAACCCTATTAATAAATGGAAAAGTGAGCTGAACAATACTTCTTGAAAGAAGAAATACAAATGGCCAAGAAATCTATTAAAAAAAAAAAAGTTCAACATCTTTAGCAATCAGGGAAACATATATCAAAACTACACTGAAAGTTCATCTCACTTCATTCAGAATACCAGCCATCAAGAATACAAACAATCAGGGCTGGGGAATACAAACAATCAGGCTGGCTCAAGCGGTAGCGCACTCGCCTGGCATGTGTGCGGCCTGGGTTCGATCCTCAGCACCACATACAAATAAAGATGTTGTGTCTGCAAAAAACTAAAAAATAAATATTTAAAAAATTTCTCTCTCTCTTTAAAAAAAAAGAAYGCAAACARTCATAAATGCTAGAAACACTGGAGGAAAAGGAACACTTCTACACTATTGATTTCCAATATGGAAATCAGTCTGGAGGTTCCTCAAAAGACTAGGAATGGAACCAACCTATGACCCAGATATACCACTACTTGGTATTTATCCTAAAGAATTAAAGCCAGCTTAGTATAGTGCTACATGCATACTTATATTTTATGGCAGCACAATTCACAATAAACAAACTTTTGAACCGCCTAGGTGTCTGTCAGTGAATGGATAACGAAAATGTGGTTATCCACACAGTGGAGTTTTATTCAGCCACAAGAATTAAATTATGTAATTTACAGGAAAATAGATGGAACTTGACATTATGTTAAGTGAAATAAGCCAAACTCAGAAAGTCAGGGGTCATATGTTTTCCTCTCATATGTGAAAGCTAGAGAGGAAAAATGAAAAGAAGCGGGGGGTGGGGTGTCTCATGAAAATCAAAGGGAAA